AAGAGGTTTTATTCCCTCCCTAACTTCAGGGGAAAATCTCTACCTGGGGAAACAACCTTTCTCAGAGAGGTGACCTTGGTTAAAACACATAGTGCCAAGAAGGTGAGCAAATATATTAAGAACAGTATGCCATATGTGCCAGGTCCCTTGAAACAGCAAGGATGGACCGGCTCCCAGCACACTATTTGGAGCATAATAATGAAAGTAGGGAGATGTTTTCTCATATTAAAATATATCTCCAATATTATGTATAATACCTGGTTCATTGTCAGTAAACAGTTTTCTGGTGAAATAAGTTAATAAACATGTCTTTAATGAAAGAGAATCTTGTATACTTGGAAGCATATTACAACATTGACTTTGAGGTTTCTTTTGCATCCCTTTTGCTCGGTTTCCCTCCTGAGTTGATGGAAATGACTCGGTCATGCTGCCATTGACTCTCACCTGACTTGCCATATCATTAAGTGTATCCTTAGAAACATAATGAAATTCTAAAGATAGCCACATTACTGGGTAGCTGGAAGAATATAGGCCTCATAATGATGTTGAACATTCTTTATAAAATTGATGGATCTTGTACAAAGCAAGGGCTCAATCAAGGTCAAAATTCTCCAGGGTGAAATCCACCTCTAGGTTACCATCTGCATTTCAAATGTTTTCTGATTGATTTGACTCTGGTAGGATTTCCTTCCAGGTTAAGTATTCGCATTACCCAAACTGATTTCCTTATAGAAATCTAGAATATAGTGTCATTTCTTAGTCAATACAGAATCAGAAGAGAGGAATGTAAGGCCTTGTGAATATCAAATTTGGGCTACGACTTTTCTGGTCTCCTGATACTGCAAAAATATATAAAACTACTTCATCTTCAGACAAACTATGCAATGAATAGTAAAATATACTGGTTTAAAATTTTTATTTCAGAATTGATATTTCTTAAAAATTATTCAATACAGTTGTTAGAATAGAGCTTTAGGATTTTATCTGATGATAAGTCAGGCAGGTAAAATATTACTCTGCCAATTTTATAGATGAGGCTGCTAAAATTCAGGAAATTTATACAACCTGGTCAACCTTCCTTTCTTATTACAATAGAGTCTAAAACCTAGTTTCTCCTGCTTTTGAGAATATCATTTATTCAACAGTATGAAATTCAAGGCTTTTCTTCTTTGAAATGTCTTGAGTAAAAAAAAAAAGTTTATACCAGAGTCAACTTCCTGAACAGGAAGGAGCCACACGAACTTATAAGTGATTTTAATGTATTTTTTTATATACAAAGTGATGCAATAATAAAACTGGAATGTTGATTTGCCTGTGGTCACCAAGATGGTAATTTAGTCATTATATCTGAATAATAGTTCAAACTGTCATCTATAATTTAGTTGAAACCTATACAGATTTACAACCTATATAGATTGTAAAATCTATTATTAGGTAAAGTGCATATTTCCAGTAAAATTATACTCTAAATTAGATAGAAACAAACATAAAATGAGAAGTTTGAAGTGTATTTATGATATCAATGAGTTGTAACAATGGTGAGAACTCACTCATATTCTGTAATTCTCAGTACTGTTTTGAACTGAAAACATCCTCAGGTTATCCAGATTAAAGCAAATCAAAATGTAATATTAATAATATTACCACCTATGTGGAAAAATAAGTATTAAATAAAAATTATTAATCTAGTTTACACAGGTGAATAATACTTTATTAAGTTCCAACATCATATAATTGCTTTTTAAATTATGCATATAATTATATGAGATTATTTCACTCTTAATTCCCAAGGAGAGATAACATGACTCCTTAGATGGTTACTAGTACTTATTTTTTTTCAATGGCGACAGTTTCTATTTGATACAGAAAACAAGAATGGTTGACTCTAAAATTATTGCAATTTTGTCTACCCACAAACACAGAACATAACAGTTATGCTGGTCAAAATTTCAATAAAAAAAGAAAATAAGACAATAGTATTTACACCAAGTAATTGTTCCTGTGTGTATTTAACTAATTGCTTTTAGAATTCAAATAATGGCAAGAAGAAAAAACTTCTTTGGTCTTTCATTAAACCCTATCATTACCCATTGTGTCTTAAAATCTTACTATTAATTTGTTTATTAATTAAGAGAAAGAGGAACAACAGAATCAACTACCTCTCTTTCTTCAAATAAATGAAACCCAAAAGGAAATGCATATTTTTACATATATAAGCTGTCATTTTGCATATTATACATGTTATTATAGCTACTTGGTTTCACATTAAATATTTAAGCACAGAAAATCTGACAGAAAAGTAAAAACATATTTCCCCCTCAAATTCACCGAAGACACGATTACACTGACTACTTTCAGTATGCTTTTGTAACTTTGTTATATGTATATTTTTGCTTTCGAGAAAATTATTAAGGTTTAAGTTTCTTGCAGACACATAGTCCAGCACATGGGGAGTCTCAAAAAGTGAAGTTTTCTCATATTTTTATGTTATTTCTATTTTTCAATTTAAAAGCTGACCTTCAGTTCAATAGCACATTTCACATTTTTGCCACTTCTTTTCAATAAAAGCATCTCAAATGTAACTCTGTGTGTACAACATCACTTCCCACTTGCATATTGCAAAGCAATCTATAGATCAGCTTTGTTTTGGTGGAAACCATCCCAGAGCGCGTCAAGAAAAACATCATGACTGAGTTTATCACAAAAGCATTTTACAAAAACACATGATGGATACTCTGCCAAGGAACACAGATGATTATACAGAACAAACTCATGTGGAAATTGGAATCAAGATCCTATCTCACTAGCCTTGATATTCTCTAATATGAGTTCAACATTTAACAGATTGATTAATCCATTGACTATCTTTTTGTCTACGTATGTACCTACCTACAAAATGACATTTAACAGATTGATTAATCCATTGACTATCTATCTTTTTGTCTACATATGTACCTACCTACAAAATA